TTTCGGAAACAGCTACACCTGCAGTGAAGATGAAGTTAAAACTGGTTAATTTTTATTCATTTTAACCCCATTTTTTATAACTCATGCTTAGATTTTTACTTCTGACCTTCCACAATTATGTAACAAGCAGCTCAGTTCAACCTCTTTGGTAACATTTAGCCAATGTAAGATTAATTATTACAAAGTGAGTTGATGGATGAAAATTTCATTTTAGATTGTTTTGGGGGAGTGTTTTAATAAATGTAAATTTCACTGGAATAACCACAATATTATATTTTGTGTAAAAGTCACTCCTCATAATTTTTGTATCTATTATTTGTATGTTATTTTTAAAGGATCTTAGAGAGCCCACATGGAAGCAGTGGAGAGAATTCCTTGTCAAATACTCCTTCCTTCCATACCAGCTAATTGCTGAATTTGCTTGGGACTGGCTGGAAGTCCATTATTGGACGTCTCGGTTTCTCATCGTCAATGCCATGTTACTCTCAGTTCTTGAATTATTCTCCTTTTGGAGGATCTGGTCAAGAAGTGAACTGAAGTAAGTGTGTTTTTATATTGGAGATGGTTGGAGCAACGGGGACTAGAAAGGTGTCTTTGAAGCAGTACTTAGAAACAAAGACTCCTCATGTTCTGGTTTCAAAACACTTAAGCAGCAAATAGGAAACATTGCCTTGTGTTTGGGGGTGGGGAGGTTTTTATGGTGCTCACAGTTAAAGTGTTTCTCCATCTATCTTTTCCCCACATAATCTACCATATTAGTCCTGGGGGTTGAAGGTGTACATGAAGGATTTTAATAATTAGGGAATAAACAAGTGGAAAATGAGGGTACTTTATGGAAAACAGCATTATGGCAGAGTATAGAGATCTGATGAGGAATCCTGGGGGCATGAGTTCTAATCCTGCTCTGCCACCAACTGGAACACTAATAATTTCTCTGGATTAATGCATCAAATGAGAGTTGAACTAGACAGTCATGAAGTAGGACTCTTGGTTGCAAGTGACAGAAACCAACCAAAATTGGCTTTCCTAAAAAGGGAAATGCCCGCCCTGGCCAGTTTGGCTCAGCGGTTAGAGCGTCGGCCTGCGGTCCAGAGAGACCCGGGTTCGGTTCCCGCTAAGGGCACGTACCTCGGTTGCAGTTTGTCCCCGGCCCTGGTCGGTCGTGCGGGTGGCAGCCACTCGATGTGTCCCTTTCACATCGATGTTTCTCTCTCTCTCTCTTCCTCTCTCTCCCTCCCGCTCTATCTGAACAAAAAAATGGAAAAATGTCCTTGGGTGAGGATAAAAAAAAAGGGAAATGCCCAGCTAAGGCTTCCTGCATGGTTGGTCCCAGAGACCCAAATGCTGTCATCCTGGACTCTGTCTCCCTCAGGCAGCTCTCTTCATGTGGGGGCCTTTGGTCACTCCAGGCATAGATCTGAACAGCTTAGCGTCCCTTGTGCAAGGTGAGCACTTCTTTCCTGTAGTACTTAAGGAAGTCTCAAGGTTCACATGCCTTTGCTCTGATTGGCCCAGCCTGGGTCACATGCTCACCTAAACCTGTCACTTGGTACAGGGGAATGCAGGGCTCTCTTTGTCCAGGCTCAAGGCATGCATTCATTCCCCCATCCAGGGGCTGGCTTCAGCCCCACCCAGACCTCATGGAAAAGAATAAGGGAGAGAGACACCCCAAAGGAAAACTCAGGTGTTTCCAGAAGAAAGGGGGTGGCTGTTGGCACATTATCATACCAGTATCCTTGAAGCCTGAAACATCTTCGGTCTCAAAGGGCTCTTGGCTTCATCAGTCAGGAGCAGCCTTATAAATAGTTCTGGGAACCTGAGAAGAATCTCCCTCATTTCAATTCAGTGAACTCGTTTCTTTTTGCACAGTTAATTGAGCCCCTACTGTGCCCCTGGCTCTCTTCTGGACACTGCAGATCTTTTGGCAAAGACGACATTCTGTACTCTGAAGGCCTACAGCCTAGCAGAGAATATATACAAATGTGACACAGCGATGCAGCAGGTGGGGTTGGGCTATAATGGGGATGCCTCACCTGGTGTTCATAGTGCCCTGAGGAAGCACCGCCTAGGCAGCGTCCTGGGAGTTGAAGATGGGCAGTGGGGACAAAAAACAAGATCCTTGCAGCACGGGCAACCTGACTGCATTGGGAAACAGCCCAGGGTCTGAGCACTTTGGTGTTGTCTTTAGACTTGCCATCACCGTTCTACCTCTCAAATGCTTCTCTTATTTTTCAGGACTGTGCCTCAGAGGATGTGGAGCCATTTTTGGAAAGTATCAACACAGGGGCTTTTTGTGGCCATGTTCTGGCCCCTCATTCCTCAGTTTGTTTGCAACTGTTTATTTTACTGGGCCCTGTATTTTAACCCAATTATTAACATTGATCTTGTGGTCAAGGAAGTGCGACGGCTGGAAACCCAAGTGTTGTGAGTGGCACTGCCCAGACTCTGAGGGACTCTTCCAGCCTCCCTGACATCTTGAGCTTTGATGCTTAAGTGGGCGGGGGGAGGGCGGGAGTGGACGTCCTATTTTTTTCCCCTAGTAAACAAGGTGCTGCTTTCTCTGTCAAAGGCTATAACCAGGTCCTCTCTCCCTCTGCCTGTGTCATTGGGGTGGCAGGGACTGACATCTGAGAGCTGGGCCGACACAGCAACAGCACCTCCCACCTACCTGCCTTGCTCACAGCAACTTGGGAGGCCCCGTCCACTATGGCTTACAAGGACCCAGGGTTCTCAGAGGATGTGGTGTGGGTGACATCAGAAGGCTGCCACATCATCCGTCCTACTTGCCCTTACCTCAGTGACTGACAGGCTCCCAGGGCAAGTTGGAGTCCTGAGACCAAGCCCAAGACCAGGCTTGTTGGGCCCCAGCCTATCCTCTGAGACAAGTTTAGGAAAAGAGATTTTGTCATAGGCATAGACAGTTGCACACAAAAAATACAGAGGAAAAACTAAAATCCAATAGATAATTCTGTCTCATTGAAGAGTTGCTAGAAGGTTGAAGGATTCAGTTTGAGACTGGAATGGTGGTTAGACTCATCCTGTTTCCATCTTCTAATCATTGAATATTTGGATCCCTTTGTCTGGGAGGGGAAGTTGAATGGAGTGTCAGGATATTAATGGAGGGTAGTTCACATCAGGTTGAGCTGCCTCAGTGCTACTTTGAATTGTTTTGGCCCTGGTTGGGTGGCTTAGTTGGTTGGGGCATCATCCTGTACACCAGAAGGTTGCGGGTTTGATTCTCCGTCAGCGTGTGTGTGAGAAGCAACAGATCAATGTTTCTCTCACATCTATGTGTTCTCTCCCTTCCTCTCTCAAATCAATAAAAAATTTAAAAAAGATATCCTCCAGTGAGGATTTAAAAAAATTGTTTTGTTTTGGGGTTTGCTTTGTTTTATTTTTAAGAATTTAATCTGTAAAACCCAGGATAGTCCTTTAGTTCAATGAAACATTTTATACATTGACATCACACTGTATAATCTTTATCATCTTGTTCTGATATATAAAACAGCAAGTATACTGACACCAAATGCTGTCATTGTAAATATGAATGAGATGAACTCTGCCTCTTACTTCCTTCTAGTGTGAAAACAGCAGGTGATCCATCTGAAGATGGGCCTCGCAGAGATACGCTCGCATCTGAAGGGATTTTTTGTGACTCCATGAACCATTCATTCATTAATCCTTTGTATCTGAAGATTTCACACAAACTTTGCATCTGAAAGTTTTAAGAAATTACTTGAAATAAAAATAAAAGATATTTTTTGTAAAGACAAAACTTCTATAGAAAAAACATTGTTTAGAAAACATGATGAACATCTGAATTGCTCAATACAACCTGTTAGTCATGTTGAAGTCCCCTTGCCTGATGGGAACATTACCTGCTTAACACCTATGACCTGCCAGAGACACTGACTGACGACACTGCAGTTTGGGGACACTGCAGTATTTGCACATCCCTGGTCTCCGGCCTTGTGGGGTTAATACTCTTTCCAGATAAAGAGATGGAGGCTGGGTGGCACTGGTGGAGCTGGGTCCAGGCTGGACCATAGGTTGCCAGACTCCCAGTCCGGTGCCCCCACTCCACTCCCCACATCCTGCTTCAAAGATGAATGACACCCACATCTGCTCAGGGGAGCAGAGTAAAGGAGACCTGGGTTAGAGCAAATGGACTGGGATGGCCTTTAGCTCCTTACTGCCAGCAGCACGGGCACTTCAGAGCCAGGGCCACAGCTGCCTCTCCTCCCTTGGACCTCAGCCACAGGTTTCCATGCATCAGGAGGAGCTGCCGATTTAAAATATTCAGACCCTTTCAAGTAAAAATTCCATTTCTGCAAATCGAGGTTAAGGAATAATGAAAAGGTAGGTAGTGGGGGTTGGCAAACATTCACAAGCATCACTAACATGAATAACTGATCAAAATAGGAATATCACCAATGTGCTAAAGTTAGGGATATATAAAATGGTATCTAGTATAGCTATTTAAAATGGAGTTTCCAAAGATTTTTTTATAACGTGAGGAAAAGCTTATGAAAATCATAAATCGAGTCTCAACTACAATTTTTTAAAATTAGAAAAGACTGATGGACAGCACACTAAGATGCTAAAGATGGTTATTCTGGATTGTGGGAATTGGAGTAATTTTTTTTCTCCTTTACATTTATCTGTATTTGCCTTTTTTAAAAAGCAATGAGTGTGTAATACTTTTGTAATCAGGAAATAAATGTTAACTATTAAAGGTGGACTATGATAGGGAAGAATACTCCTTGAGCTAACAATTACTGGACTTGAACATGCGGGTAGGTGTCATGTCGTCTGGTTTATTGCCTCAACCTAGAATAAGGCCATACACTCAGCAGGTGTTTGTTCATCAGAAGCAGGTTAGAAGACAAGCTGAGCCTTTTCATAAAGGTTGAACATCAAAAATGGTACCAAACCCCATACAGTCATAAACAGTCATGGTTTTAAAATAGTCATGGGATTTTAACCTTAAACCAGAAACGAACAGGCTGCAGCCCCAAATTCTGGGATGGGGAGAGAAAGGAAACACGGTGCAGCTTTAACTCAGTCCCCCTCTGAAAATGAACTGAATGTGGCTGTTGATTAGTGAAAAGGAGTTTTATTTCCCTGTGCCAAAGAACATTTCAAGTCAGTCACACTTGAGCGAGTCCTGCCCGCATAAGAAACGTGGGTAGAAGAGGTACTTAAAATTGTACTCAGTTTGGGCTAAGCAGTCAGCAATCTCCTGGTCACACCGGCACAAGAGTTCTTGACATCTGTCCTCTGCTGGTCCTGGAAAAAAATGGGGAAACTGAGGTTAGGGCAGGGACTTGCAGAGACTTGAGGATAAACACGAATGAAGCCAGAAACACTGTTGGCAGGAAAGGTCATAAATTGCATCTGTGTGACACTTGACAGTTCACCATGTGATCATTTTCTGGGCAACTCCAGGAGGGAGGTAATGTTGGCCCCATTTTGAAGAAAAGGAAATTGAAGTTGTCAGGGAAGTGTTTTCAGATGCAGAATCCAAAGTCCATTTGACTTTTTGGCTTCTCTGTGCAGAGTAATTGGGAAACCTGGGTAAGGAAGCCTATGTAAAGTGCCCAGGATAGACTTGGCACTGGATCTGCACTCAGTCAGTATTGGATGTAATGTGCCTTGAGACCCATCACTTCATCCTTCCTAGGCTGTTTCCTCAGGTGCAACACAGGAATACTAATAGCACCTACATCTAAGGGCTGTTGGGAGAATGGCAAGAGACCAAGTCAGTAAAATGCAGGGGTGCGAGAGGCATTCAGTAAGCTGAAGCTGATCTCAGGCTGCCAGCTGGTCTTTAAAGATCCCGTCTTCAAATGCACAAGTTCCTTGGAGACACTAGCAATGGGACACATGAGAATCAGAAAATTCATCAGCTTCTCTCCTGAGCAGCACCCAGAGAGCCTGACAGCACCAGGAGACAACACAGTTATGAGTGAAGGGGTTGAGCAGGAGACAGGGGGGCCAACACCCTCTGGCAACCATCTTTCCAGGCACTGTTGTGTTTGTCTATGTGACTGCACACAGGGTTGTCCAAACTCAGGCCTGTGGCAAGATTATTGCTTTAAATTCCCTCATTTTTAAATAGTGAGCCAATTATTAAATAAATTATATTAAATGATATTAAATTACATTAAATAAATTCTATCACTGCCATAAATGGTAAACCAAAATTTTATACCATAAATATAAGAAACTGATTTTTTTAAAAAAAGCAAAAGCAAATAACCAATGAGGATAGTTTTAATATCAAAATCTAGTTAAATGCTGTTGCCTGATTGAAGGCTGTAAGCCCTCAAATTGGAGTATTTTGGTTAAAAAAAAAAAGGAAGATAAGCAGTTGAGGGGTTTTACCTCTCTAGTCAGACTATCACACAATTGACACTTCTTCCTTTTGTAACTACAAAAGTTAAGAGAGGACTGAAAGGGAAATTGTCACTTAAATTCATTTATTAAGCTTCCCATACTCTGGGAAACAACTAGGAGAGACAGCCAGACACAAACACCCCTGACTCTAAAAACCTGTGTTTAAATTTTTTTCTTCCTTTGTTTTTTTTGTTGTTGTTGTTGTTTGTTTGTTTTTTGGTATGTGCCCCTAGCGGGAACCGAATCTGGGACTCTCTGGTCTGCAGGCCAACGCTCCAAACGCTGAGCCAAACCAGCCAGGGCTAAATTTTTTTCTTTATTGATTTTAGAGAGAGACAAGGAGACAGATAGAGAGATAGAAACATCGATGAGAGAGAACATCGATTGGCCGCCTCCTGCATGCCTCCCACGGGGGATTCGGCCCACAACCTGGGCATGTGCCCTCATCGGGAATTGAACTGGCAACCTCTTGGTGCATGGGTCGATGCTCAACCACTGAGCCACACTGGCTGGGCCAAAAACCTGTGTTTAAACACTCTGCAAACTGCCTCGGTTATAATTTTTTAAAGTCGGGATGATGGGAGCTAGCATTTATTATGTAGTTATGCAGAGCCAGGCACTGGACAAAGGGCTCTATGGTCCCACGAACTGAGCTACCCTGCCAGGGCCTAATAGAGTTTTAATAATGTAGGAAAATCTTATACTTAAGAGAAAAATAAGGAGTACAAAACATACTGCTATTTTAGAACATATATGCACTAGAAAAAGACAGGAAAAACACCAGAAGGTTTACCAAAGAGTGTATATGGGAGTTTTATTTCCCATAAAACTTACACACACAAATTACAATATTTTTGTAATTTCAAACGTTTCTACTTTGAGCCATATAATACTATCATCATGAAAAAGGCAATATCAACAAAGTTTGAAGAGTAGCTATGTTATGATATTTGATAGATTTAAAATATACCACTCAGTGACAGTGCCAAAAGGAGGTGGCATGTCAGGTGTTTAGTGGCCCTCCTCCTCCCTAACTTTGACCAGGTACCCTTCACCCCACCCCTCTACAAATAAACACAATTTACATTTTTTTTTAAAATGTCCTTCTCATGTAAATAAATGCCCCTTAGGAGAAGTTCTGTAGCACCCCTTTCAGGCTGGGGGCAGCCCTTCCTACATATTAATTCTAGAGTTGCCTCAAATATACCATTTGACCCAAAAAGTCTAGGATTCAAGGTTACAACAATTCTCAGACAAGCTCACAAAGATTTATGAACAGCCACAGTCTTGCAAATCCATAGAGCAGTTGATAAAAATAAAACACATTCATGTCAGAGGCCAGTCATTCTCAGCCATGGGTGGTCATGTCCCCAGGGGGTATTTGACAATGTCTGGAGACATTTTTGGTTGTCACATGTAGGGGGATGAGGTGGTGTTGCTACTGGCACCTGGTGGGTAGAGGCCGAAGATGCTGCTAAACAGCTACAGTGCACAGGACAGCCCCACAACACAGAATTATCCAGCCCAAAATGCCAGTAGTGTCAAGATTGAGAAACTGCCATAGATTATTATCTAGTTTTAAAAGAATAGGGTCAGTCCGGCTGGTGTGGCTCAGTGGTTGAGCGTCGACCCAGGCACCAAGAGGTCACCGGTTTCATTCCTTGTCAGGGCACATGCCCAGGTTGTGGGCCTGATCCTCAGTGGGGGACATGCAGGAGGTGGACAGTGGATGTTCTCTCATCGATGGTTCTCTGTCTCTCTTCCTCTCCCTTCCTCTCTCTCTAAAATCAATAAAGGAAAAAAAATAAAAATAAAAATAGGGTCAACTCATATGTTCAAGACACAATGTTAGATGACAAAAAGTATAAAATACATGTTATGTGATCTGATTATTATTATTATTATTATTATTATCATTATTATTATATACCTATACACACACATGTATTTGTTTACACATACAAATCTGGAGGAAGAGATGACAAACTTAACAGGAACTAGTTAACTCTAATGGGTGGAGTATGACTTTCTTCATTACAATATTTCTGTAATGTTTGAATTTTTCACAACAAACATGTATTAGATTTGAATCAGAAAAGGCATGTGAGTGAATGGATAGATGATTGATAGATGATAGATGATACATACATACATACATAGACACATAGATACATAGATAAAAAATAATGTGTAAAATTTGGTAATAGAACCAGATAATGCAGAAGTGAGTCCTTCTGCCAGTAAAATTTCCATGGGCTGCTGCACAGTGGAGACACGGACACCCTCAGAGCAGTGTAACCTGGTGGTATAGTGACTCCTGAGAAAGGACCCGCAGATGCTCCAGGGTGGCATTGTTCCTACAGAGCTGGCTGTCTAAGGACAGGGTGACTGGAACAAATATGCCAGCCAGCTCCTCTTCCCTCACAGTCCTGCGGTTTCACCTTCTAGCCCAATATGTCCAGGAGCCACCTCTATTGCCACCACCTGCCCAAGCCACCATTCACCAAGACCACTCTAGCAGTCTCACCACCAGTGCCTGGCTTCCACTTTGCTCCCTCCAGGGTATGGTCCATGCAGTAGCCTGAGTGGTTTGGTTACAGAGCAAATCAGACCATGTCCCTCCTCTTCTCAAAACCCTCCCTGGCTCCTCATCTCTCTCATGTTCTCCAACACGCTATGGAATCTGGCCCCCACACCTCTGACATTATCACCCAACTCTCTCACCTTAAATGACTCTGCTCTAGCCTTACCATCCTCCTTGTACTGAGAACACTCAGACATTTATTCCTACCAGCTTTTTGTGTGGTTCCCCTCATTCCACAAGTCTCTGCTTCAATGGTTTCTTAGCAAGGAGACCTCCTCTGACACCTGACCATTCGATATAAAAGACTACCCCTCTCCCCCCTGCCCCCGCAACACTGTATCCCTGCTTTTTTCTATTGATGACAAATTCTCATAACAAAATTTACCATTTGAAAGTGCACAAGTCAGTGGGATTTAGTAAATTCACAATGTTGGGTAACCATCACTTCTATCTAGTTCCAAAACATTCTATCACCCAAAAGAGATCTCGTACACATTAAGATGTCACTCCCCATTCCCCCTCTCCTGAGTCCCTGTCAATCATCTTTCTGTCTCTATAGATTTGCCTATTATGGACAATTCATATACTTGGAACCATACAGTATATGACCTTTTATGTCTGGCTTCTTTCACTTAGCATCAAGTTTTCAAAGTTCATCCATGTTGTAGCAGATATAGTACTTCACCTGCTTTATTTTCTGACACAGCAGTTATAAGAGCACTTGACAAAGACACAATTTTCCACTCTCCTCCTATTAGACTTCTCTGCCTTACCTAAAACCTAGCATGGAGGCTGCCAGAGTAGAGTCTCAATATTTGTTGGGAGAATATAGAAAAGCCATACATCATTTCCAACTCTCACACAAACACAGCATCTAAGTTTTTTTATTCCCATTTTACAGAAGTGTAAAGTGAGGCTCAGAGGGACTCAGTAACTTCTCCAAGGCCACAGAGCAGGAAGGGGCGAACCAGGACTCCAGCCCAGGATCTCCTGATCTGGGGCCAGTACCTCCCTTGTGCTCCCATCCTCCTCTCTGAGCAAGAAAAATTCTTTCAAAAGCAAGACTTGGTCTCACTGTTCCATAGCCTCAGGAACCCAACAGCACCAGGTTATTCAAGAATAATAAAAACTTAAAAGGAAAAATAACTCCCAAGGGTTAAGTTTAAAATAAAGGCCTGCCAGTAAATATTATTATAGGCTTAAAAATTTTTAAATATATTTAAGTCAGGCCCATAAATGGAAAATGGGCCACACCTGTAATTAAGTAAACAACTATGTTCAGAATATCTCCAAACAGAATGAGAATATTTTTTTAGTCAAAAATGCATAATAGATATTTTGGTTCTCTTCGTTTGGTTCAGGGAGGGCAGTTCTGTAAACAGGCACAGCCTCCACCAATAAATACTTTACAAACACCATTTTCACATGGTTAGGGGCAAGTTCAAAGGAAGAAAGGGAAGATTTTTCTATTTTATTTATTTATTATTTTTTTATCCTCCCCTGAGGACATTTTTCCATTTTTTGTTCAGATATAGTGGAAGGGAGAGAGAGAGAGAGAAAGAGAGAGAGAGAGAGAGAGAGCGAGAGAAACATCGACGTGAAAGGGACACATTGAGTGGCTGCCACCCAGGGCCGGGGACAAACTGCAACCGAGGTACGTGCCCTTAGCGGGAACCGAACCCGGGTCTCTCCGGACCGCAGGCCGACACTCTAACCGCTGAGCCAAACCGGCCAGGGCGAAAGGGAAGATCTTTAACAGACTTCCAGTTCAAGACCCATTTCACCTCCTCTCCACCCACACCGGAAGGGGGCAGTTTGGGGACAGGGAATGTGCCCAGGAGCAGGCACATCACCACCATGTTAGGTAAGTCACTTCTTTCCCTGGGCGTCAGGGCTAGATGAGAGGATGTCTGGAGCACTTTCGGACCTAAACATTAATAGCATGTCTCAAGATTAAATCAGTTTTGCTCTATGCCAGCTCCTACATCATGCTGAGGATGTATGCCTATCTAAGTACATCCTTCTAGCAACTCGTACGATTGCCTCCTTTCTTCCAGAACAGACCGAGTTGCTGAAGCTAGGGTTTTAATGGAAAGTCACACCTGAACCCCAATTCTCTCTAGTGGGAGGTAGTGAGGTCAGAGAGAAAGGTAGAGATCAGGATGAGGAAGGGAGGAGAAAAGATGAGAGAGCGTAATTACCCCTGTCAAATCTGCTTATCACATTCTAAATCATTTTTTCATCTTTGCAACACTCATCTTTGAGGTAAGAAAATGAGGAGCAGAGAGGTCATCCATATCGGGTCAAGAAATTTTCAACAAGGGAAAGAAGAGTCTCTTCAACAAATAGGACTGGGACAACTGGGTAGCCCCATGCAAAAGAATGAAATTAGACCCCTACCACACAACATATACAAAAATTAACTCGCCCTGGCTGGTTTGGCTCAGCAGTTAGAGAGTTGGCCTGTGGTCCAGAGAGACCCGGGTTCGGTTCCCACTAAGGGCACGTACCTCGGTTGCAGTTTGTCCCCGGCCCTTGTGGGGTTGTGTGGGTGGCAACCACTCAATGTGTCCCTTTCACGTCAATGTTTCTCTCTCTCTCTCTCTCTCCCTCCCACTCAATCTGAACAAAATATCAAAAAATGTCCTCGGGTGAGGATAAAAAAACAAAATTAACTCGAAGTGAATCAATTACCTAAATATAAGAATTCAAATGATAAAAGTATTACAAAAAAACGAGATAAGTCTTCATGACCTTGGATCTAGCAATGGAGTCTTAGATAGGATACCAAAAACAAAATAGAAAAATTGGGCTTTATCAAAATTAAAATTTTTATACATAAAAAACATTATCAAGAAAATGAAAAGATAACCTACGGAATGGGAGAAAATATTCACAAATCACATATCTGATAGAGGTGCAGTGACTAGAATATATAAAAAACTCTTATAACTCAACAACAAAAAAGACAAATAACTCAATTAAAATTGAGCAAAAGACCTGAATAGACATTTCTCCAAAGACATAAAAATAGCCAATAGCACATGAAAAGATGCTCAACGTCATTGGGGAAAAGCATATCAAAACCACCCCTACTGCCCAATTGGTGTAGCTTAGTGGTTGTGTGACCCATACACCAAGAAGTCACTGGTTCGATTCCCAGTCAGGGCACATGCCCAGGTTGTGGGCCAAATCCCCAGTGGAGGCCATACAGTTGATGAGAGATGTTCTCTCTCATCAACGTTTCTCTCTCTCAAACCAACAAAGATAAAATATTTTTTTAAAAAACCCACCCCTACTAATAAATCCATCAGAAGGTAATCTATCCATCCACATTTTTATTTTATTTTCTTTTTTTTTGATGCATGTCAATGAAATTGCAGTGATCACATCAGGCTGTATATTCCTTTTCTGTTTAACTTTTTTTTTTTTTTATTGATTTTTTTAGAGAGATAGAAACACTGATGTGATAGAGATACATTGATCGGCTGCCTTCTGCACACCCCCTACTGGGGATCCAGCCCGAAACCCAGGCATGTGCTCTGACCAGGAATCAACCTGGGTTCTCTCAGTCCATGGAATGATGCTCAATCCACTGAACCACACCAGCAAGGCTCTGTTTAACTTTTAATTCATGAGTAACTCATGAAGACATTCTCTTTGTAAAAAATGAAAACATTACAGAGAATATGAAGTTGCCTTCTACCATTACTCCCTTCAACCTGATTCTTTCCCTAGAGATGACCACAGCCATCCTCAGTTTGGAGTGTATCTTTACATTTTTCTGAGCTTTGCAAATGTCTACATGTAGCTATAGAAAGTAGTATGGGCCCTGGCCAGTTTGGCTCAGCGGTTAGAGCGTCGGCCTGCGGTCCGGAGAGACCCGGGTTCGGTTCCCGCTAAGGGCACGTACTTCGGTTGCAGTTTGTCCCTGGCCCTGGTTGGTCGTGCGGGTGGCAGCCACTCGATGTGTCCCTTCACGTCGATGTTTCTCTCTCTCTCCCTTCCTCTCTCTCCCTCCCACTCTATCTGTACAAAAAATGGAAAAATATCCTCGGGTGAGGATAAAAAAAAAAAAAAAAAAAAAAAAAAAAAAAGAAAGTAGTATGGTATGTCCGGCTGGTGTGGTTCAGCAGTTGAGCGTCGATCCATGCACCAGGAGGTCACCAATTTGATTCCTAGTCAGGACACCCGCCCAGGTTGTGGGCCTGATCCCCAGTGTGGGGCATGGAGGAGGCGGCCAATTGATATTCTCTCTCATCAATGTTTCTCTCTCTCTCTCCCTCTCCCTTACTCTCTCTTTCAAATCAATAAAAGAAAAAAAAAATCATAGTATGGTACTATTTGCAAGTTTTTCAGTTTAACTTAATGGTGCTTTATTGAACATGTCATTCTGCAGTTTGCTTTTTCACTCAACATCTTTCCATGTCAGCATATGGGTCTACCTCCCCTTTCCCAGGCTGCAGTTTTCCACAGTGAGGATACATCATGGGTTTACATACCCAACCCCCATCTGATGGACATCTAGGTGGTTTATGTCTGGTGCCATTTCTATCTTTTTTGGTTTTTGTCTACTGTTTTTTCAGTCCTCACATGAGGATATTTTTCCATTGATTTCCAGATAAAATGGAATGGGGGGAGACATTGATGTGGGAGAGACACATCAATTGGTTGCCTCCCACACGACCCGGCCAGGGCTGGGGATCAAACCGAAACTGAGGTATGTGCCCTCAACCAAGAATTGAACTCTCGACCCCTTGGTCCACAGGCCAACGCTCTAACTGCTGAGCCAAATAGTCCAGGGATCTTTGTCTATTTTTTAAGTGCTCAGTATTAAAGATCTCTTCTATTAGATAAACCCAAAGGGTGGCCTATGGAGAGTTGGAAGCAGTGGTAAGTTTTTGCGAGAAGGATGCCCCAGGGTCTCTCTGGGAGGTTGGTGTGGGTGTCGCTGGGGACTCACCACATTCGATGTGCTGACGGATGCACTTCCAGGAGTAGCTCTTCACCTTGCCCTGGCAGCCAGCCTCGTCCATGGCACGTTGGTAGCAGCAGTCATGATGATGACAGCACCTGTGGATGGCAGCCAGGCCGACCAGCAGGTGGGTGAACTCAGGGCTGCTCTCCTAGCCATCTTCCCATGCCAGGACTACGGGTGATCTGCTTCTGGTCCAAACGTTGTCCCTGAGAATCCTATCTTGGGAAATAACTCTACTGACCCCAGTGTGTCCTGCACTGCCTCCATCCCCAGCCATGCTCGAGCCAGGCCCCTGCCTGCTTCACTCCCTGAGTCTCTGAGCTCCAGCAGAACCGATCTCTCTGTTGCTAGAGCAAGCCTGCCTCCCACTTGCCCTCTGCCTGAGTCGACTGTATGCTCACTCTTCCTCCTCTAGGTTTCAGCCTAAGCATCAGCCCCCAATCCCAGAATGTCATCAGGCCCCCTACCTCCCAGGCTATGAGCATCTCCTTGTTACACCCTCTCGTAAAACAAGGTTTCTTGCCTGCAGGGCAGGTTTATGAGACCCTCATTCGTGAGATTAACATCTGTCCTCCTCACTGATCGGAGCTCTAAGATATGGGACCATTTCTGTGTTGTTCCCACAGTGTCACCAGCATCTAGCCCAGGGCCTACCACATACTAGGATTTCAATAATAATAATTTATTGTTGAAGAATTCCCCAAGGAATACCCACAAATGTCCCTAAATATGCCCATGGTTTCATTCACTGATAATATCTCCATCTAGCCACCAGCCCCACTCTGTGTGGAGCCCTCAGCTGAGTCTGGCAGGGACAAGTCGGCCCGATTCTGCTCTGCCCTCAGGAGCTCCCAGACAAGCCACCAGATGCCGCATGTACAGTGACAAGTGCTGGGATGTGGGGTAAGGAGAGGGGATTCTGGACTTTATTTTTTTATCCTCACCCGAGGACATTTTTCCATTTTTTATTCAGATAGAGGGGGAAGGAGAGAGAGAGAGAGAAACATCGATGTGACACATCAAGTGGCTGCCTCCTGCAGGGCCCAACCAGGGCCAGGGACAAACCGAGGTACATGCCCTTAGCGTACAGACCCGAACCCGGGTCTCTCTGGACCGCAGGCTGACGCTCTAACCGCTGAGCCAAACTGGCCAGGGCAGGAGAGGGGAGTCTGGAAGCCAGAAGAGGTGCCATGCCCAGCTGGACTTCAGGAAAGGCTTCCTGGAGAGGGTAATGCTTGATCTGCATCTGGAAAGATGTACAGGAGCTGGACAAGCAGAGTGTGAGAGGGCATGGCCAGCAGCAGGAGCCTCGAAGGCACAAGGCTGAGTAAATAACTGAGAATTGTTCATGACAATCATATCCTCCAAGCTAGGGAAGACATAATAAAATTCTGTCCCCTGACACCTACCAGCTGTGTGGAAACAGGTGAGTGGCTATGCCTCCCTCAGTCTCAGGGCCCTCGTCCACGAAACTGGGATAGCCATCGTGTACGTTTCCAAGGATGGTCATGAGGGTAATGAGAAGTCATGGAAAGATAAAAGTCCACAGCCTTGCACAGAACAGGCACGTCTCACATGGCAGCAGAGTGCAGTGATTCAACTGCACCTTACTCTTTATGTGGCCCCAGACAAATTACTTAATCTTTCTGTGCCTCAATTTCCTCATTTCTGAAATGGAATTGTGAGGACTCAAAGGGTTTCTTAGAAGAGTTCCTGATAGACTTTAAGTCTGATCAACTTTGTTCTTTTTTTCAGCCAAAGTAATCACCTCATAGCCAGAGTGAGAGGGCAGCTGGCACCAAGGTTTGGCCTGATTGGCCATATTACCCAGGAGGCCCCGTGCACACAAGGTAGCACCATGTGCTATTTCCTCATAGGCCTTAACTACCCCAGAGGGTGGGAGGCGTTCTAGCCTGGCCCAAGCATGAACTCACCGGTCAATGGCATCCAGGGGCTGACCATGGCCACCTAGGCCACAATAGCAGCCGTAGCTAACATAGGCCAGGGGCGTGCGATGGCCAACACAGTCTATGGTCTCTGCCAGTTCTATGAGCCCACGTCGGTGCACATGTGACTTCAAGGAGGCTGAGGGAAACAAAGGTTAGAGGCTGAAGGTCAGGTCTTCCCTGGCCCTGGGGAAGGTCAGTGGACTAAGAAGAGCCTGGGTTTGATTCCTGCTCCTCCTACTTCCTGGCTGTGTGACCTTAAACAACCTACTCAAGCTCTCTGTGCCTTGTTTTCCTCATCTGTAAAATCGGGGGATAAGTGCACCTCTCTTCATTGAATGAAATGAGATCATGCACGTGAAGCATCTGGCACATAGCAAGCTCTAACTATTATTATCAATAATCTTAAGGCAGCCATGAAAAAGAAAACAGGACAAAGAGCCACATCATCTGAAAGATCACACCACTGGGCCTTTCCCTGTATAGGCTGGTCCCTCTTCCTGGAATGCCTTGATTCCCAGTCTCCTGCCCTTGTCAGTTCCAGACACAGAGTCCAAGTTGTGCATCAAATGTCAGCCCGTTGCCTGTACTGAGAACTGAATATCAGAGAGGAGCTAAACAGGGTCTCTGCCACCAAGGAGGGCTCCTCTGTGGAGCTTCCCTGTCCCTGGTTCTCACCAGCACCACCACCACTTCCCCCAGAACTCTGGTTCAGGGCCCTTTATACTTCCTCTTATTTTCACTGCCCAGGCACAGCTTCCTCTCACACAGGGAGGCCCTGTGTCCTGAACCCAGCCATGGCTCTGACACATAGCAGTGCACAGTAGGTTCAATTGGAACTCCTGCCTTTCACTGGTGAGAAAGAGGCCTGGGATGATCCCCACAAGAACTTGGCTGACTGGGGGCTCCAACCCAGGCTTCTGACTCCCAATCCAGTGCTCATTCCTCCTCTCCCAATAACGACAGGGGAAAGGGGCCTGCCAGGGTGACAGAGATGAGGGGCACCAAGGCGAGGAGCTACTGCTCAGGGCCAGGCATTTCCAAATCTACTGTGACCTGGGCATCAGAATCCCAGAGCAACTCCTCCTTATGGTGAGGGGAATGAGTCTACTCTCTGGTGTTTGGTCAAAGCAAGTCAAAGCAATAGTAGGAAATGCAATAACTTGAAACTCACCCTGCACCGGGCATCACCTGTTGTCAGTGGCATAGCCTCCTTGTCTGGTGGGCAGCTGTCATTCCATTTACAGATGGGGAGAATGAGAGACTAAGCAAGGCAAAAGGACCCATCCCAGGTCACAGAGCCGGTGAGCAGAAGCTCACGCCCAGGCTAGCCTGACTCCTAGGAGTCCACTCTCCACTGTTCTGGGACTGACAATCCAGAGATTGATGCATTGCATTTGGCCAGTATGTCTCTTATGTGTCTTTTTACCTAGAACAAGTTTTTATTACACTGACTTTTTTGAAGAGTACAGATCAGAATTAAATCCAATTTTTTTTTCCCTCAGTGGAGAAAGTAGCTTATTCAGTAGAGATGAGTTAAATATAAAACAAAATGTTAAAAACAAAAAAGAGTTTAGAGTTAAAAGCTTCACCTTCCTTTCTGGATGAAAATTCCTCCCTCTCCCAGGACTTGCCTCGTGCTGCTCCTAGCTGCCCACACTTCTGCCTGAAACTTCCCTGGGCTCCCACAACCGTCAGGAGAAATCTCAGGGGTCTCACTGCAGCCCAGAGGCCCTGCAGGAGCCTGCCCCTCCCTCCTGTCCAGTGTCATTTCTCAATGCCCACCACAGAGACCCTGCTCATCATTTCCTGTTCTTCTAGTTATATTTTCTATCACAAGTATCCTGTGCAGCAAATGCCCTCACCCCAACCTCACCCAGCTCATCTGTCACTTCCTGGAATCTGCCTCACCCTCGGGTGACCACAGGGGCCCTGTCACACTGTGCTGCTATCTACTTATAGGAGTGACCCCCTAGCCTGGGAGCCCTGTTAGGGCAGATCTCTGGCATAGGCAGCTCCAGATCCCCTGGCATGCAGTAGGCTCCCAGAAAGGTCCCTTGACCTCTGGATCCATCAAGTCCCAGTCTAAGCATATCTGACAGGGCCCCAATCTTAACCCTGCACCCCACAGCTGTCCCCAGAGGTCCCCCACTCTGACCTAACCATGCTCTGACATCTCAGGGTCCTGAGTACAGCCCTATGGAGAATCCAAGCATGGGGCAGACACCCAGCACTGGGTTTGAAACCAAGGAAAACACTCCCTCCAGGCCAGCTTAGGTGGGGCAGGTCACTCTGGGGTCTGTTTGCTCTGTCTGCCCAAGGCAGACTCCCTGGGAGTGCCAAGGCTGTCCAGGCTTCCTATCTTCCTATGGCCCTGAGGGTGTATGTCTGCATTTGTGTGTGTGTTTTCCTTGGAGTATCTTTGTTTGTGTCTGTGTGTGAGCCTGTCCCTGAGCCCTACACCTAAGTGCCCAGGTGAGGCTGGGGGGGGGGGGGGGTGTATGTATGTGATGTGGTGTCTGTATATTTCCCTGTCAGTGTGTGTACCTGTGCACCCCAGAAATGGGCAGTCACTGAGGGCACCTCTCCAAGGGTGATACCTAGGAATGGGTAAGAAGGCAACCTTATGTTCTACCCTGACCCCAGGTAGGGCTGGGTCCCTTCTTCCCCTGCTTTCCCAGCTTCTGGTGTCCCCCTGGTAATCCTACCCCAGACCCCAGGGACAGGTGGAGTGAACAGTCAGTTCACAGGACCCGGGTCAGGTGGATGAGGGGCGTCTGGTTTCTGAAGAGGGTTACAGTGAGTGGAGTGGATGTCTGGGGAGGATACTGAGCCCTTGGGGAAAGGGCTGGGCTAGTTTTCCCCTGAGAGGAATGAATGAGTGGGAGCTCTTGGAGAGGACTGGGGGACAGGGCTCTTGGAAACCTGGAAGAAAAGTGTCAGTGAGTCAGAGAAAGGAGCCCAGTGGCTCTAGGGCTCCTGGGCCCTTGGTAAGGCTGGTGAATTGGAAGCCTTGCAGAGGGGTGGAGGGCACAACTCCTGAGCCTGAAGGGAGGGCTGAAGGAGTCCCAGGAGCTCCTTGGTCCTCCAAGGGGCCCATTCCTCACTCACCTGAGCTGGGCAGGAGTCCGGGTACCAGTAGCAGCAGCAGCGGCGGCAGCATTGCTGGCGAGCACAGGGGCAGCCGACCCACCAGACGGTGGCAGGTGTGGGACGATCTGGCGGGCCAGTGTAGTCACCAAACCCGGCCGACTCCCCTCCCTCACGCCCCGCCCAGTTCCGCCCCTGCCCTCACCTTACCGCAGGGCCGGGCGTAGCCTGGCAAGGACGTGCCCCTGGGGCAGCAGGAAAAGTCCCTTCCGGACCGCTACATCTTGGTCATCTAACGAGCGCGTGCGCCAGGAGAGAGAATCCGGCCCACGAAGTCTTGGATTAGGGTTTGGGGAAAATGAGGAAAGGAGTTTAGCACGGGTCAGTCACCGAGTAAATGCTCAAAAAAGGTGCTCTGTTAATATTATTATCACCTGCAGTCCCTCTCAGCACTCACCTGGGCATCCGAAAAGAGAAGACTTGGAGGAGGGGAGGGACTGAAAATATTTTAAACACTTTTAATGTTGGAAACTGGGAGCTCCTGATACCTCTCAAAATCAGCTCTCTGCACCGCCCCCCACAACTACTGCAGTCGGGAAACTGAAGGGGTCAAAGATTCGCCCAAGGTCACACAGGGGGTTCTGGGGAAAGTCAGAGCTGAATTGGTGTAAGAGGGGAACAGCCCCACACCCTTTCTGCCTCAGGCTTCTCATCTGGTCCAGGGTAATAAGGTCTCCTCCAAGGGACATGGGAGGCGGGGAAGACAGACACAGCAGGGGCACAGTATTGAAAGATGATAGTTGTGGCACATATCTGTTCCCCTTTGTCCCTACCTAGTGTCATCAATTTCTGTTGATTTCTAGTCATAACTAACTCTGAGAGTGGAACCCTCCAACCTCCACTGCCAAGTGTCCCAGAGCCTGGGAACTGGCGCCAGGCAAACTGGTCAGCCATTACCTCGCTTACCCAACCTAAACTCCCACCCTGTTTCAGGAACTGTTTGTCCCGAACTCATAGGTCAACTCCTGTCCCATTCTCCTGTCCTAGTCCAGGAACTGTTTGCTCCGGGACAATAAACTCACATTCCAGGGGCCCCCATGCGTAGCCCCTCAGGACCTAACCCTAACAACAAGTTCCCGCTGCCAGAGGCGCAGATGTAAAAATCACAAACCCCAGCATCGGGCGCGGCTTCTCGGACTCGACCCCCGGAGTCTGTGAACCCGCCCGGAGTGTACCCAATAAAGCCTGATTTCTGCTTATTCGGCTGTTTGGCTCTTCGGTTTCTTCCCACCTCCCACCGGCGGTGCCTGGCTACCTTACACCAAGCTCTAGTAAAAATAATGGCAACTAATAATCATCATGTCTCACCAGCTATACTGTGCTAAGGGCACCAGGCACATGATCTTATCACAGCCTCAGACCCATGGTGACCCCATGTCACAGGAAAAAAACTGAGGCTCAGAGAAGCTAAGAACCAAGAATTGTGGGTGTAGATTCAAATTCATTTGTACAGGGTGCCAAACCTCTGTCAGCCTCCTTCTGAGACAAGATAGTAAGAGGCTAGGAAAACTGCTTGGCAGGTGGACTAGGGAAACCGAGACAGTTAAACAGCCAAGCAGTTTGCAGCCATCTAGTAAATCTTATCTTCCCTAAACCAAGAGTAAATGATTTACACTTCGTCATCCCAACTGGAGGGTAAATAGTTTAAATCACCCTACTCAGAGAGACAGCAGAAATCTAATCAGTGCCATTTGCCAACCAAATGAGTAAATCTCATTTGGCACATCAGCATAAAACTGATGAATATTCTATTAAGATCCTCTCCTAAGACCTCCCCTAAACTCCCAGCCCAAACCCTCAAAAGGAAAGTCCCCTCCTGGGAAGCATACCTGTGCCTTTCCCTTCCCCTCTTCTTCTCCCAGGCACATATCTGCTAAACTCCAAGGGACACCACGAGACTTGCAACCAGGGGAGCAATAGGCAGTGGCAGCTTGTCCTGGGCTAACCCCCTGAACCTGTTTCCAAGGCCCCCTCTTTGACTTCCCAGTGAGCTAAAGCAGACCCCCACGGCTCATTTCTTTCCTATAACATTTCTAGAGAGCCAAAGCTACCCTACCTAGGTTCTCTCCTGTAGCTTCTTCTATCCTAGGTCCATTCTTGTTTCACTGTCCCCAGCTTTAATAAATGCATCCTCAAAATCACCTGGACTAGTGTTGTGAAATCTTTCCTGCACGACGTCAAGAACTCATAAACTACCAGCTGGCTGGCCCTACGCCGGTCTCCTTTCTGGTAACACTTCTATGAAAACCTAAGGCACCAGGCCATTCATCTGCAACTCTGAGTCACTGTCTCCCCACTGGGAGACATAATAATTAACTATGCCCTACTGTTGGTCTCAGTTTAGCCACATCTTCAGGTTTTATTCTGGACTACTGACAAAAGGTGGCTACAAATGTTTGATGAGTAAAAGGATTTCTTCTTCTTTGTGACAGAAGTGGATACTCCTCTATGACTAGAAGGTAAAATAACTACACATACTAGGGAGCATATGAATCTATGTGCTTTCTCCAGCTCATGAGACCACATGTAACAGAATGGTGAATCCCAATACACTCCAGCACACCCTTTGACTTAGTAACCTGTTTCTAGAAATAGCTCTAAGAAAATACTCAGACAAGATTTAAACACAAAATTGATCTTTAACCAAAAACAAAAACAACCGAGAAGCAATCTAAATGTCCAACAATAAAAAGATAGTTAAATTATGAGATTTTTCACGTTAGAATATGCATTCATTCTAATATAGTGTTTTATATGACTATTGAATGGGCATTTAAAAATACTCTTAAGCCCTGGCCAGTTTGGCTCAGTGGTTGAGTACTGACCTGCGGACCACAGAGTCCTGGGTTCGGCTCCCGCTAGGGACACATACCAAAAAAAAAAAAAAAAAAACTCTTAAAAGTAGAAGCTTGCTATATAATCTTACCTTTATAACTACAGACCATACAACTGAAAGAAAGCCATATATAAGCATACCTATATACACATATCTACTATAATATATACATGGGGCCCCATGCAGGGAACAGGAGGGAAAGGGAAGAAGAAAGATAGGAAAAATAAATAAAATGTATCAAAATGTAATACTGGTTATCTTCTGGTAGTGGAGTTGCATGATTTTTATCTTTGTCTCTTTATTTTGCTAATTTCTATTAAAATCTAAAGTTTTATGATTCACACAAAAAAAAACTTAAAACAAAACTAGACTTATAAACTTTAATTCAACAAAGCTTGTCTACTGAAAAAAGTTAACTTGATATTATTCTAAAAGTGCAGAGACACAGGCAAAAGGATAATGATACCCATCAGTTTTTGGTTTCTTTTTTGTGGTTTTTTAAAAAATAATTGTATTTCTGTGGTTACCAGGGGCTGCAGGGGGGGAGAAAATGGTGTTTTTTTCATGAGTATGGCATAAATACGTAAGCATTTACCTTTTGTCTTTTATTTTTTTAAAGCCTCACCTGGGGATATTTTTTCCAATTATCTTCAGATAGAGTGTGTAGGGGGGGGGTATCAATATGAGAGAGACACATCGACTGGCTGCCTCACGCATGACCCTGACCAGGGTTGGTGACCGAATGGCAATCGAGGTATGTACCCTTGACCGGAATCAAACCTGAGGCTCTTTGTTCCACACACCAATGCTCCAACCAGGCCAGGGCTGCATTTAGCTTTTGATTCAGTACTACAACTCTAAGAATCTATCACAAATATATACTGGCAAAAATATGAAATGGCATATACTCAAGGCTATTCTTTTTTTTTTAAATTTGTTTTTCTTTATTGATTTTTAGAGAGAGAGGAAGGGAGAGGGAGAGAGATAGAAACATCGATGAGAGAGAACATCAATTGGCCACCTCCTGCATGCCCCGCAGTGGGCATGTGGCCAGACCGGGAATCGAACCGGCGACCTTTTGGTGCATGAGTTGCTGCTCAACCACTGAGCCACACCAGCCAGGGCAGAAACAGTACAGTTTTAATGAGGAAGAATTTTTCATATAGCTATGAGTGATCTCCAGAACAAATTGACAAGTGAAAAAAAGCAAGGTGTAAAATAATATGTACAGTAGGCTCTGTTTTGTTTTAAAAGGGAAGGGAGGATATAAATGCATATGCATATAACTTTTATATATAAAACTAACAATAGAAAGAAACCAAAAACTAATAAAAATGGTTACCTAGGTTACCTGTAGGGACTAAGAGAACAGACTGAGGAAAAGCTAGTAGATAGACTTCTCTTGACATATTTTATTTTGATGGCAGATTCATGTGAAAGTTTTATATACTTTAGAAATCAAATTAAATTAAAAGGACTATGCCCCTAGAGATAAAAACAAACGGAAACAAATGAATCTACCTATATCTGGTAGAAAACCACAAAGAGAGAAATTATTTTAAGAGACTTGAATAAATGGTATTTTGACTGTATATCCTAAAGACAAAACACCTACACCAAGCAATTCTAAATTGTGTTAAGCGAGCTTATTAGTGGTAATGGTATATAAATTTTAAAATAAAGTGAATACAGAAACCAGAAATAGAGGAAACTTCATCTTGATGAATATCTAGAAAAAAATCTACAACTAACATTATAGTTAATGGTGAGAAACTAGAAGCATTCCTGCTCAGATCAGGAATAAGGCAAGGATGTCCTCTCTCACCTTTCTTTGTCAACATTATGCTGAATATCCTAGTTAATTATTATAGACTGAATGTTTTTGTCCTCCCAAATTCATTTGTTGAAACCTGCCCCCCAACGTGATGGTGTTCGGGAGGTAATTAGGTCATGAAGGTAAAGCCCTCATAAATGCCGTTAGTGCCCTTATAAGAGACCCCAAAGAGCTCTCTCACCCACTTTCTCCATGTGAGGACACAGAGAGAAAACGGCCATCTATGAACCAGGGAGTGAGCCTCACCAGACACAACATCTGCTGAAACCTTGATCTTAGACTTTCCAGCCTCCAGAACTGTGAGAAACAAATTTCTGTTGTTTATAAGCCACCCAGTCTGTGA